TTTCCCTTCTGAAATCAGTGTACAGTAATGGCATCAGTCTTACTGTTTTGCAGGTGAACATATTCTGACTACATTTAAAGTTTTTATATTTAGCAGTTGTTCAGTAGCTTGTTCCTCTCTCTCACACTTGAAGTTCCAAGAGCATTTAAATTTTTTGTCAGTTCATCTGTGACAAAAAAATTCATCTGTCTCTATCAGTATTTATATATATTTATGTATGTTAAATCATTGTTATAGCACTCTCAATAAATTATGCTACCCCTGCCTCAAATATCTTTTCCATATTTAAAATTGACATTTATCTCTTGAGGCGATTTGTTGTTGTTAGACTCCTGTGTTCTGTCTTTCCCTGATCTGGTTGCTTTCTCTTTCAACAGAGGCTCTGTTTTCCCTGTGACATGCATGTTTATATTTTTGTTGGCATGTGTATTTGCAAAAATGTGAAGTATAGAGGCAGATAATGTCAAATTTGTATTCAAAGATGTTGCCAAAATTTTTCGAGCAGTAAGACATGTTCAATCATTACAATTTCTTGTGAACATAATTAGTATTTCTTTAGTATGGCTTAGTGGGCCATTTATTAGGGACTGTGGACCATAACTTGGGAATTCCTATCCTGAACCTTGGTAGTTTACTTGCATTTGTTACCTTTTATGAATTTAACTGGAAAGCAGTACTTTGAGATTTTGTATGTATACAGGGTAGGATACTTAGTAGTGGATTCCCATTGTAATTCTGAGGAATAGATACTCATATATGAATAACTGACATATACTGGAAAATTAACATATATAAAAGATCATAAGAATTGACGTGTTGAGAAGCACAATGCTGAATTTCTAAAGCTTGTTTCTCCTGTGAATCTTACGTGAGGTAGAACTCACACAGGGTTAGGTGTAAGCTTGTTAAAAAAAGATGACTGTACTGTAGGGAGTAATGGAAAGTGTTAGTACAACTGCTTTGGTTGGTTGGTTTTTTAGAAAAAGCAGCAAAATTAGCTGAAATTGCATGCAGAATTGGAAGCTTTCCTTTTTCCTAAACTAAAGTCAGTCATCTGATAGAACAGTTCCATTTTTTTCCCTAATATTTCAACATGTGTCGAACAAGAGTCTGTACAGATTGTGAGAGCACCACCACAGTCTGTAGGTGCTATGCAAGACATGCTTTTTTCTAGAAGAATTTTGTCAGTGGATATTTTTTTCCTTCCTCTGAAAGAAAAACAGTGTTTTCAGGGAGGTATGTGGCACAGATGAAATTTTTACTTTGGCCACTAGGAGTTATAGTCTACCTCACCTTTGAGAAGAGCATATTATTTCATTTAACTTCTGACTACCTTTAACTAAACTCTGGGTGGAGCATGAACTTCTGTTAATGTCTCTGCTCTCCCATTTTGCTTCACCTCTGTCTGTGACAGTACTTTGCTTTCAAAGTCAGCTCTGCACACTGGGAGTTCATCTGAAGACTACTACTGCCAGTTATTTCAATGAAAACTGTCAAGTAGCTCCAAGACAGTAAGATCTGTGTGAAGTTCTAGTCGGAGTGTTTTCAGCTAAGTGGTTACATCCTCTTGAGAAATTGAGAACCCTAATTTTGAACTTGGCTCACTCCAAACTTCTGTGGTGAGCTGGCCTTGGATATTGTCAAAACTATCAATCTTACTGCCATAAAATTTTAAATAAAAATGAAGGAAAGATAGTAATAGTCTTAAAGTTCTTGTGCTTTTAAACTAGATGGGCAGGATTTGAGAAAGCTGTATTGTTGGAAACCATTTCTGTGTGAATTTAGTCACAAAAAAGCACTTTTTTATTTTGCCATGGTGTGTAATGTAACCTGGTAGCAAGAATTCCCAGCCATACCTCAAAGGCTTGGATTCTCTTCCCAGCTGCTACCAGCCTGCACTGTGAATATAAACACATCACCTCTGTGTGCCTCTGTTTCCATTCATGCTCTGTTTGTCTTACCGACTTGTGATACGTACAGGATCCATATCTGACATTTGTACAAATAGTCAGCCTACCAGAGTATTGAAAAGTATTCAGTTTGGGTCTGTATTTCTTTGATGGCAGCTGTCTTCAGACATTATTTTTTTTTAACTTGTTACTGAACACAGACACGTACAAGTGTGTAAGTCGTCTTTGTGAATGTGTTAACTTGGAGTGCATGGTGTTTCCTCAGGTGCCAGTAGCCAGAGCCAGCATTCTCTGGCTCATCGGTGAGTACTGCGAACGGGTTCCAAAGATCGCACCTGACGTCTTGAGAAAGACAGCCAAGAGCTTCACCAACGAAGACGACCTTGTAAAGTTGCAGATCTTAAATCTGGGTGCAAAACTCTACTTAACAAACTCAAAGCAGGTAAGTTTAAACTCAGAGGCGTACATATTTAGAGTCACGGTAAGTTTTGTACAGTCTATGTAGATCACTGGTGGTTTCTTACATAATTAATCAAAACTAGTCCATATTGTTCCACAACAAAAAACTAAGCATCAGTTTTCCAGAAATCTAGCAGACTGAATCTAACCATGAGTCTATAAGCATGTGCTGGATTGTGAATATCAGTTAGGAGACATTCGAGATGTGATTTTCTGTTTTCTGACCCTAAGACCAGAATTTTCAAGGGAATACTGTTAATTTTAACAAGAAGCTGCTCTTTTTTTTTCTTTCGGGATATCTAAAAGGAGATGCTAGCAAAAGACCTCATTACGTCTTTCCATCAGTGCTCATCTTAAAGATAGTAACTGCTTTCCTTTTTCTACATTTCTTACTATTTACCTTGTGAAGAGGGTGGAGTTTGATCATCTCTAGTAATAAGGATAATCTAAAAATGTCAGATTGTACAAAAAGGTGAACTTAGATCTCCAGGCAGTTGAAACAATAGCTAAGAGAGGTGCCAGCTGCCTCATTTTTCTCAATGACAATGCTTTGAACTTTGTCACTCTCTGGCTATGGAGTCTATCATCTTGACACTAATTTTTCACTGTAATTCCAATTATTACTGTAGAAGGTTGTAAAATCAAAGATTTTGATTTTTTTCCCCAGATGTAGAAGAAATGTTTTGTGTGAGATGTATACACTTTCCTGGGCTGCTAGTCTTCTTTGTTTTACAACTGCTTGGATCTTCTGCAGCTGTGGTGTCTTTTCATTCCTTGATATCTGTATGCATCTGCAGACTTGATTGGTCTGAGACTTTATTCTCTAGGGCATGTGGGGAGGTGAACTGTCTTACTGTGCATTCAGATAAGAATGAATGCTTGTTCTATGCTTATACAATTAAAAGTGGGACAGTAGGAAAAGGTGACTTATTTCTGTTGGTGCTCACCTTAGTGAAAATGGTAACTGAGATAAAGACAGATTGGTTTGATTATCTAAACTGCCTCCTTTTGGCCCATTACATAATATTTACTAATTTTCCATATATTTTTTGTCATTTTACACTAATTTTTCCACACCGTATTTAGCTGAAAATTCAGTGCCTTTGAGGAGATGGTGATTTCTGGAATGCTCTTTTTCCATTTTTCTGTCTTAATACATTTCATAATGAGTATGAAATTCTTCATTCAAATACAGTAATGATGATAAAGCAGAAAAAACTGTCTCCTAAGCTGCCTACTAAATGATGAATTTCAGCAAAGGATGTTTTCTTTCAGTTTTAGGTCGTGGAAAAATAAGCTGTCATCCCAAATGGTCAAGCTATTCATATACAAAATTCTGGGAGAGTAGATTGATGACTCAGCTTGATTCAAAGCTCCTTCCAAACTAGAATATGATGGTTTTGCCTTTCAGAGCTGGCAACACACTTCCTATATCTACATCCTTGTTCCCAGGAGTAGCTCTTCTTCATGCAGTCAGTATTCAAACATTTCTTTCTGGAATGACTTCAGATCTGAAAAATTCGAGCCACTTTTCAGTCTTAATTTTTCAAACTTGAAAGAAAATCTTCTGCACTTGGCTGCTCAGTTGTCAGTCTGTCTGTCCGTCTCATCCCCTACCCCTTCACATAGTACTTTTTGAATCCTGTATCGGTTTTGTCCAGAGTTAATGAAGTTGTGAAAATATCAAAGCTACAATGTCACTTTACTGAAAAGTAGTGATAGGACAGCCAAGAGAGACTCAACACCAACCAAACAGTTGGAAAGAGCTCTTTATGTAGGTGAGGGAAAGGCAGGTAAAACTCATATGTTAAGTCTTCTTTGGAGAAAAGCACAGCATTCTGCAGGAAATAAGACCTTGTTAAATATTTTTATTTTGATGGGCTTCTGCTGTGTAATACGGTAGGAGTCCCACCAGAAACAGTCCCTAGTATTCCTAGTGTGTAAATAGATACATCAGTCGTGGTTTAGCACAATAGCCTTACTTCATATACCTAAAGAATCAAGTTGCTACAAGCTAATATATCATAGAGTGTTTCTTTCCCACTGTAGAGTCTCATCTGTTGTTGATACTTGCATTATAAAATTTGTCATGTGGGAATCTGTCAGAAGGTTAATCACTGCTAATACAGGTTAGGCATTAAATTCTTAAATAGAACTATTGTCACTAGAAAATTATGTGAATTGTTGGTGAAGGAGGACTTGAAATACACTTTTCGTATTAGCCAAACCAAATTGTACAAAAAAATAGTAACAGATGCTAACAGTGTGTGAATAAAAGAAATCGTATTATACCTGTATAATGAGCATGTCCAGATAACAGGCAATGTTGACATATGGTAATAAATGTATTATGTCATATATGAGAAGTAAGACTTGGTCTTACTGTTCTGTGGAGGTGTCATGGTGTGCAGATTCATATTTCACCACATTATTGTGCTTGCTCAAATAATTTTCAGCCTCTCACACATATTGCTTTGTTGGAAAAACTGATGTGTATTCATTAGTTTATTTTTTGTTTTTAATTAAAATTAATTGTTTCTATTAGCTACCTCCATGTAGAAAAGCATCACTACTTGTTTGGTTGTGTAGACGTAAGACAAGGAAAAACCCAGTGTTCTGTTTTCATGAAAACTATTTATACTACATAAGATGCTTTCCAGGAGAATTTTTGCAGATATGGCGTATTCTTCCATTTAAATTTGTTGTGCCTTTATCTGTATTGGACAATGTGGAAAACACATTTTAGGGGAGGGGAAAGGGAGGAGGAAAAAGGGAAGGATCACAGAGAAAATTACCCAGTTAAAGAAAATACAGTCTTTCAGGGTTGACTCTTTATGTAATTCCAACAGTGCTCACTGCAGAAGTGGCTACCATGACAGCAAGGCCCTCAAGTTTTCCCATCCCTATAGCAATTCACAAGGAAAGACTACTGTGTTTTATGATCCATTCTGCTGAGCTTTCTGCCGTGGCAGCAAGGAGCCTTGTTTGTTTTACTGAAAAGGGATTGCAAAGGCTGCAGGAGGTATCCCTCATTTAGCTTAATTCGTGTTACCCGGGAACCCTCCTTCCCACTTCCATTTACATTGAACAGCGTAAGTCCTGCGTGACTGAAGATTATGTATGTTGTAGCTGATGCAGTTTAAAATTTTACACGCTGATAGAGAAATAGCTACCAATATTCTGTGAAATACATATAGGAAATTTTTACTTTTCCCACAGATAGAACAGTATGTTGGGGAAAAAGTATATTTTCACAGAACCATCCTTGGCTATCTAAGAGAGGAAAAAAAAAAAAAAAAAAGCTTCACTGAAAGTTTTTTTAAACTATGCTTTTAGTATTATACCAGTGTAATATAACTGGTTTCTTCAAATCTCTACCATAGGCTATTTTATGAAATACTTGCATAAATTGCACTGTATGTCATTAAAATTAAAACAATTTTTTTGTTTACTTGTCTTTCACTTAGAGGAGTTAATATTCTGAAAAAGTATTTTTACATCTCTAGGAAAACAACTAACTTGCATCCTCAAGGTGGAAATTATTAAACTGGACTTTTCTTAGAAAATTGCATATAACAAAATTGACTATTTTTGGGTTTTTTTGTTTTTTTTTTTTTACATATTTTTCCACTCACATGATTAAACTGTTACTGTTATAACATAAGCATGGTAAAAAAAAGTACAAATAACCTTGCACTTATATAAAGAATATAAATCTTACTTGACAATATTTTTTTTTTTAACCCTGTGTTATTAAATCTATTCTGAGTTGAAATTCCAGAAATTTGCTTCCTTATGATGGTATATTATTTTTGCTCTTTTTCCTATTTGCTTGTGTATAAAGAAAGTGACATACTTTCTTTCAAATGTGTCTAGTAGATACAAATCTACAGTTCAGCACTACTGTTCTGGTTACAATGCACTATTTCTAAGATACTGCGAAAGTCTGCCTGATTTATTATATTCTTTTTTTAGTTCAAAAAATTTAACTGAATTATTAAAATTATTTCATACCTGTTAATGTTCTCAAACATCAAATTAGGAAATCCTATTATGCTGTAAAAAGCTGTGATAATATAAGTTGCTCTCTTACATAAATAAATAAATGACCAATGTTACTGGAGGCTTTAAGCTTCAAGAAAAAAAATGGAAGAAGTCTTTTATCCTGGTTTTTAGAGGGCATCAGCAGCTTGCTTTTATGAAAAAGTAACAGCTAAATGCACTGCAAATAATTTGCAGTAATCCAGTTCAGTGATTCATGTGTCTGCTTTAATGGATCATAATTCAGGATAAAGTAACTGAGTGCAGTCAGAGTGCAGACACTGCTTATGCCAGGGACAGTATCTCTTCATAAAACACACCTCAGCAGAAGCAGTTTGCCAGCCCCCTAATACCCTCTGATGTTTTGATGTCCTGCATATTTTTCCGATTAAGTTTTGAGTGCCATGTTTTTAGTTGTATTTCCACATTCATTATCCTCACGTAGACCCTTCAGCGGGTTTGCCATATATGATTATTTTTTTAATGATGCCTTTCTTTCCACTTCAGCAGTTTAATAATCTAGCACATGGCTGCTTCTCAGTACTCAGCATTCACCTCCCCAATACAGAAGAGGACATGTGCTTTGGCTGCAGAATTCCATTTGCAGCTTTAGAAATGCATATTCCCTGTGGAACAACATTTGTTTGACATAACCATTCATTTTTATTACCTCTTTAAGTATGTTTATCCAGAGTTATCAATAATCATAAATAACTTGTATTCTGTTCTTGTCCTGTTTTTTTCCACAGACAAAATTGCTTACCCAGTATGTATTAAATCTCGGCAAGTATGATCAAAGCTACGACATCAGAGACCGTACAAGATTTATTAGGCAGCTTATTGTTCCGAATGAGAAGAGTGGAGCTTTAAGCAAATATGCCAAAAAAATATTTCTGGCACAGAAACCTGCCCCATTGCTTGAGTCTCCTTTTAAAGGTACAACTGCCAAAACCATTTGGGAAATGTTCATTGTGTAAAGGAATGTGGCAGCCTATTCGATTTCAAATATGCTCACAAATTGTGTCACTTAGCAAATACAAATGATTAATATGCAAGGGTACTCGCTCTGCTTACTTGCTTTCCGGCAAGCAAGGTTTGCATGGTGCAAACACAATGCATTTCTCCGACGATAAACCCTGACAAACTGATACGTTTCTGTACATGTGGATTTTAAATTTTATTTAAATAACAGAAGGTGTGTCTTTTGAGGAAATCTATTCTCCAATTTGGGAAAACAGCTCTAGTCTTTTATCTGGACTTGAGCAGAATGAAGACTGTTAATGTGAGTATTGCAAATGTTTTATGAATCTGAAATAAATTGAATCTCAATAGATTAGGTTTTTATTCGTTTTCTCCAAAGTCATAATTTTCCCTCTGTGTTTTTCCTGTCTTTTTACAAGTAAGAACCATTGTCTGCCTTCTCAAATTAGAGGGTTATCAGGTTATCTTAATTAAAAACGCTCTGTTATTGTGATGTTCTGCAGTTTAAATTTTCATACTTACTTAGTCCCAGTTTTGAAGCTCTAAAAGTAGCTCCATTTTGAAGAAAAACTATTAAAATTCTGGATGTGTTTGTGCCAAGACATGTATATGGATTGTTTAACTGTGCTGTCATTCTTAATATTCACAGTAAAGTAATTTTTAGAGAAGCTACATTTCAGAGCAACACCTCTAAACACACTGACTGATTAGCTTTTTTATTGACCATTATGGGGGAGATTATTGTAATCTATGGACTGAAATCAGTTTTTTGACCTATGAAGAGCTTCCTAGTTTATATTTATTCCATGACATTTGAGGTAATATAATGGCAATTACCTTTAGCCCTGATTAAGATTGCTCTTTGTGGTAGAGCTCATGGTGCTTGTGTATTTCTCCCCTCCCTCTTTTTTTTTTTTTTTTTTTTTTTTTTAAATAATTTGGTGTTTTTTTCTCTT